ACCATCCATCTCTCCCTTCTCCTTGTATTAGTGGTGTCTCCCATGGTGTTTTCCATTCCAGTCCCAAAACCCATAGTGCAGCCACATGAGCCTCAGAATACCTCCATGTCTCCATGAGGAGAGAAGACTCTGTCACAGGGCATCTGACACAGCTTCCCATTCAACCTTGGAAAAGAACTTACTCCAGCCATTTTCAGGATTGCAGAATGCAGAAGCACAACATTAAAGGAATGAAAACTAATGGTGTCAAGCACAAAGGAATCAGGCTAGGTTAATAATATTGGAAGGTCATTATTAATTTTTGCTGGCTTTTCAGAGGTTTTTTTTTTCAAAGCAGCTCAGATATGTTACTATGATAAGCACAGCATGAATGCTCAGCCAGACAATCAGACACTGTACCTTCACCTTATTACGTGTGACTGAAACTGCAAACAGCTCAGATCAATCTCAGAGATATTAAATTAGAGCTGAGTCTCACTCTATCTCCCCTACAAAATGAGCTGAGCTAAATCTGAGATAATACCCATAGCAAGCGACATGACAAACCATATTCTACTGGGTGAAGATTTATTTTTAGTTTTTCCATAGAATATTTCTGGTTATATGAACAATAGGAAAGAAGAAAAAATCTCGGCATTAGAAATGCATTGAATCTGTACATGCATTATGTAGCAGCTGGGGGTTCTGTCTTTAAGACAGAGCCAAATTATGATTCTTGCATAATGTAACAATATGATAAGTAAAAAGAAGGCCTGGGTTGGAGTGGGTAGCAGGGAATATTACAGAATTACAATAACAAGGTCATGTGAAAATGAGGGCAAGTAAGCAAGAAACTCAAGGAAAAAAAGTAGATATAATGAATAGAAAGGAGGCATTCATTATGGGGTGGATGTAGAACAAGGAGTAAGTTGGATTCCTAAACTAAATTGGCACGTAAAGGCTGTATTTATATTCCTGCAGTTTTGGAAAAAACATCTCCCATTCGCCACTCTGTTATTGCAGTTCTTAGGGGGATAAAAAGATCTTGCATCGTAAACACTGAACTGAGCAGCATTGTCATCATCATCACAATAAATTGGTTTAGGCCATCTCAAATGGCATAGTAATTATTTTCTGGCTATGCCTACAATCATAAGTAGAACCAATGCAGGTTATAGGCTAACATGCAGTCCTGGGACCACCCCAACTGAGCTAAAAGCTCTCTGGCATATTTTTGTCGTTTCTATTTTCCCAGACGGTTTCTGGACATTGATAGGGAATAATCTGGGTGAGGGAGAACTTGAAAGTCCACGCTTCTTTCTGATGAGTGAGGGGAAAGTTTTGCCATGTGGAGATGAATTGTGCTATGCCACTTGGCCTCAGGGCCAGAATGTGTTCCTTGATCTGTTTTGTTTGGTAGTGCAAAATGGATCCTTTCAGAATCATAAAGGTCAAATAAGGTACCAGAAGACAGGAAAAAAGACAGTCATAGTCATTATTCTTAAATAGGGAAAAGATTAGTCAACATCAATTTCTAGAAAAAAATCTAGAACAAATAATTGACTACACTGTATATAAGTACCTGAAGGATAGTAAGAAGATAAATAATAGTCCACTGGAATTCATCACAAACATATTGCATTAAACCAATTTAACTTCTGTCCATGACAAGATTTTACAGCTAGAGTTGAAGCAGTTAATTTCACATATTTTGATCTGAACACTGTCTTATATAACATTCTCATTAAAAAATCTCCACATATATAGCCTCGGTGGATCTTCTGTAACCTGAGATAAAGTTGACCAGATAATTATATGCTAAGAATATTTTCTGTGGTTCAGTGTTCAGCTGGAATGATTTGCTTTACTGAGTGGCATGCTAGAGGGACCTGTCTTGGATCTCACTTTACTCAGTATTTTAATTAATCACCTGGATGATGGAAAAGAAAATATTAAATATTAAATTTGCAGATGGCCTGAAGACAGCAAGGACAGCAAATGCATTGGAGAACAGAGCTAGAATTTAAGGACAGCTTGGGAAATGAAATGTCAAATAGCATTCAAAGTGGATAAATGCAAGATATGACTAAGGCAAGAGTAATCAAAGGTGCATATGGTACAAAAGTAGTCAGGGTACATACGTGGTATACAGTATAACAACAGTACAACAGTACAACCAGTAAAGCACTCTTCTTCAAGATGGGTTCTGAAGGTTGTGAGGTACTTTTGTACTCTGTGGGGGTACCCAGGCATGGCTGTGCAATGATAGCAAGCTTGAAGACTGCTTGAGTCAGGGGTGAGGAGCCAGCCCTCGTGGGTTCATTTTTAGAGGGTTTACTTGAGTCTGGCTCTAGTCTGGTCTTGTGGACTGTCCATGTTATAGGGGGATAAAGTCAACCACTTTCAAAAGTAATGACTGAAATACTAATGTACATGTATACCATTGGTCATTATAAATTGAAATAAATAGTTTCCACTGAAAAAATGCCAGACATTAGATCACGTTTCCCATGCAGAGGAACAGCTTGCAAGACATACTGTTTTGTCCCACTTTTTGTAAGAGCTCAGCTGAAGCTCTCTGTTCAGTTCCGGGTACCGGAAAGACAAGCTGGAGTCAGTCTAGAAGAAAGTGATTTCAAAACTGTGATCTCTTGGGAAAGATTAAAGACTTGAGATTGTTTATCTTAAAAACTGATTGGGGATATGACAAAAGATGACAAACACTTTAAAAGAGAAGAGAATAATCTGTTCCTTCTTTCCATGATGGATAGCCCAAACAAGAATAGCAGGAGAAGTCTCCTAAGACTATGCTTGGGGAAGCACCAGCACAGATTGCCTATGAAGATATGGCAATGCCTCTATCTATAGAGGCAGATCCTCTATCAAGGAGGATCAGTAGCAATTAGACAAGCAGGAGGTGTAAATGATCCTTCTTTAGGCTGAGTGTATGGACTAGGCAGCTTCTGAAGGTCCCTCCTAATCCAGTTTTTCCATGACTCCTCCTTTTTCCTCCTGACTCAGTGGAACTACATTATTTTTCCCAAATGTTCTTGTTTCAAGCAGTAGGGAGCAGAATGGTTTATGTTAGAGAGAAGCTTAGGATGTTTTCCTGGGATATAGTCTGAGGCTGCTAAGGTGAAAACATCCCTAGGAACCCATCTTGCATACCTGACTCCTGTGGAGGTCTCACTCTTGCCACTGCACTACTGGATGGAAGGGGTGTTGTCCTCCACTTCAGACCATGGTTTCAAGTAAATGGGGTTAGGCTTAGCTGGGACAAATCACGACAATACAGATCACATGTGGAAATAGAATTTTATGTGACTTGTAAAATGTGTTGCCTGTTTATTTGGGCATTTGAAGAAGTGTTGAGAAGATTGCAGTGAAGACTGGAACCTGCATATGCTGTGCTTGTCTGCTGAACCTGAAGCCTGTATATGCCGTGCTTCTGTCTGGTGCCTTCAACAGAAGAACATAAGGACATCAGAGAGTGAAAAAAAAAAGTAGAGATAACTGGAAGTTGCAGTGGCATATCCACAGGGCAACTAAAGCAAACAGCTGACACTGACTGCAGTCCTTATGTAGAACAGAGTACTGTCTGGATTCAACTAGTACTAAATAGATGTTAATTGTATAAGCTGCATGTTTAATAAAAATGTCTAATTATTCATTTTAATAAATTAAATAAATAATTAAGCATTAATAATATTATATAATATAGAGATATAAGATACAAACACTAAATATTTATTTTATTAAACATATTTAATAAAACTACTGTACATGCAAACTCCAAGGAGTTTGCATATATATATATATATATATATATATATATAATAAATATTTAATTCATTAAACATACTTAATAAACCTAGTGTATATGCAAACTCCAAGGAGGAAATGTGGCTCACTGCTGGTCTGTGTGGTTCCACCTTCCTCTCTGGTACAAATGACACTAAAGGGATGCCTTTTCTGAGTCTGCTGCAACAGGGTGAGGCTTGAGCAGATCTGCAGAAGGCCACACTTCTCACACATCAGAGGGTAGTTGCTCTTCAGGAACAATGTGACATTTAGCACTGAGTCAAGAGAAACACAATGGCCTAAGCAGTGCTGTATTATTGTGTTGATGACTAGGTGTGCAGTGACATTTAAAAAATGAACATTGGCTTTTTAGTGCTCTACAAACTCTGAACCTGATCCTTTAAAGCCTCCATGCGTGGAATTCACATTGACTTGTGTATATGGAGGTCTAGCCAGGTCAAGCTTGAATATTAAATAATCTTTTGTCATTCCTGATATTACTGCTTAGAGCTGGCATCATATTGTTTTGTTTAGGCAGAAACAGTTAAAATTTATTTCATACTCTGGGTTTTACTAACTGAGAAGACTAATATATCTAAAATAATTATTCCAGAAGGGAAACCTACACTCTCTTTCAACCCCCAAAAAACCCCAAATCTGAAACAAGCGTAACACTGGCAAAATCTATTAACAAAGCAATCACTGAAACAAATAGTCAGTGTTAAAAAGAATATGAGGGCATTCTAGAACAATCTCCAACTCCAGAACAACCTCTAACTTTTTACGCAGTCTAGACAGTCTGGCTACAATAACATGAAGAATTTAGCTTTCCCAAGCGACAACATATTTTTCTTTTTTTAGCAGCCAAAAAGCTCCATAGGCAAGGAAAGCATACAACCAAGTTTTATTTTGTCAGTGCTGTTAATTTTTTATATATGGTTGAATAAATTGTAAAGGTGTGGGTGTTAGTGGAGCCTGAATACAATGAACTACAGAGATGGGGAAACTGTGTCTCCTGGTCTCCAGGACTCTGCAGTTTATCTCTCTGTGATGCATATGTTGAAGCCTGACTGAAATTAACCCCTGCTGAAGGCAAGATTTGTCCCTAGAGAGGGTTAACTCTAGAAACCGTAGTAATCTGCACAGTTTATTTGTTCCACAGGGAAAATATATTAAGAACCTGTAGCTGTGGCATGACTCATCTACTCACAATGTACAAGGAGCTGGAAATTCCTCCATTTTACAAAAATAGAGCATGTCCCTTGAGTATCTGGAAAATAGATGCAGTGGTTTTACATCAAGCAAAGTCTTGCTTCTCTAAGCCAGAATGAGTAAAAATGAAAGTGCAGGGATAGAATGACTGCTCATTTCTAGAAAACTGTGTGACTGCAGAGATAATTGACTGGAAGGTGACATACAGATGCAGCACATTTTTATGTAGAGGTTGACATACCTATTATATTGATTTTTTTTTTTTTTTTAACTAGGGCTTAACAAATGTAAACAGAGTCCATAGTATTTAGTAAATTGTGCTTAGTTGGAAACTTAATCACTAAAAGATGAATAGTCCACGAGCAGCAACAGTGTAAGACTGGCTGTTGTTACATGAATGGCAGATGGCCTGAGCAGCCTTGCAAACTTTATGAAACTTGTTTTCCATTTGAGTGGGGATAAAGAGAAAATGTAACAAAATGAGATGGCTCTTTCACCATTCATGGGTTGAATCCAACTCTTCTGAAGTTGATGATGATTTTGTTCCATGTAGAATGGCCACCTGCTGTAAATGGTTAGCTGAATTCCATTTTCAGGTATATTTTAGGGAAGAATCTGGGAAGACTGTGACTCAAGGCTTGCTTTAGAGCCAGGCACTCAGTCTCACTTCCCAGCCCTACACAAAAGACAGTTAATTCATATTTCTGGGGGCTTATTTCCTTCAGGATGGTAATATATCTGGCACAACATGCTTGTTCAGCACATTATTACCCTAGCTTGGCTGACGTCCCTGGACAGTGCCCTCTGATAGATGACATTAATAATATTAATGATGAGAAAGAAAGATCACCACTGGCATTAGTTCCCTGTTCTATAGAGAGGCTGAAGGTGTGTAAAGGGCTGGAAGGTATTTGTACTGTGTTTCCTCTGTGTCAGGATTAAGGCCACTGAGGAGGACAAACCTGCCGTACTGCTGTGCATAGAGCATAAGTCCAGAGATTTTTAGGTCATAGCCATTACAAGCACCACATTTATTTGTGGTGTAGCAAGAGTAGCAGTAATTATTGTAGTAGAAGCAGTAGTAGTTGTAGTAGTAGACACAACAAATGTTCAGGTATTAACTGACCAACCTTTTTCAAGGGAGTTGTTATCACTGGGGACTAGATGAAGGAGGTATGTGGATAATGTGGGGCCTACTAGCCTTAATCACACTAATTCCCCCTATTACTGCTCTTATTAATCTATTTGGTTGTTACGTAAATCTCTTTGGCTATTTCATTAATCTCTTTGGCTACAGCTAGAGTTAGCGTCAAGGCAGTTTTTCTTTTGTGTACTTCCCCTGGCAGGGACTCCTCCAACTTCTGGAGCATTGCAATAGCTTCTGCAGCAGCTTTGAGAATACCTCCACTGAGATATGCATAATGTGTTATTTACTGAGAAATTCCTAAGGAAAAAACCTGGCCTTTAAAATAAACTTTACTAGACCTAGGCAAACAGATTTAGAAACACTAGAGCTGGAGAATTTTCATCTACATGAAAAGATTCTTTTTTTTTTTTTTTAACCAACCAACAGCTGCGCTTCATGGATAAGCCCCAGCAGAAGAAAACATATCCATAGCTGTTACAGCAGCTTTAAAGGGCTACTGCCAATATGTAGCTTTGCTGCTTTCTTCTTGGTGTTTTGCAACTTCAAAACAAAGTTATTTCTTTTCTAAATATCCTCTGAACTGGAAAACATAATCTTTAGGATTTCCTCCATGATTTTTTGTACACAGGCAAGGTGAACAAACAGAGGGCTATTCTAAGGAGAAAGTTTTTTCTTTTTTATGAATGCGGGTCTGATGATCAATGTAAAGTGTTTTCCTATCCAAAACACAAAGACTTTGGTGGTCTGAGTTCTTTTGGTAAACACATTTGCTTTCCTGGAAGACAGTATGGAATTTCACATAGGCTCTGCTCAGGAAGAAGACTGATTGCACTTAAGTTTTGTATATACTTTGGAAGATGGTAGCCAGTATATTTAAACATATTAATTGTCAGTTCATTCCTGAGATGTCGTGTCAGTTCCCAAGAAGGTTCTGACGAGAAGGCCAACAAGGAGTAGTCATAGTTTCAATCTCAAGGTTAGCTGAATATGTTACAAATACTAGCACCACTATTAGCATTGATTACACTGACTAGTAGCGCTGGTGTGAGACAAGTCCAGACTGCAGCTGAGCAGGGATATAATTCAGCTTGGGAGAAGTTATTTTAAGTCCTCTTTTGCAGGGCTGTTTGCAGCCTGGTTGCCTCACATACCATGCCGTGGGAATGATACTGCAAATTGTTCAGTGCACCACAGAAGAGGTTATGTGGTCCGTGCACCTTACTTTCTTCCAGCCTCTCTTGTTTCCCATTCAACCATGCCTCCACTCAGGGTCTGTTTTTGCTCCTCAGAATTGACTTTACCTATCCTGTTTTGTTTTGACACATGCACAGCTGACTCTTTGATCAAACTTCATGTTGAAAAAAACCACTGTGCATGTAAACTTGAAACTATCAAAATAACAGGATAGAACCAGGGAATGTCCAAGGGACATGAAAACATAAAAGCTGGTTGTACTTTAGCAATACGCTATACTGGAAGCTGTGCTGATTGAACTATCCATGGTAAACTGTGCTTGTTTGTGGCTGACTGCCTTATCAATTTTCATTGGGGAACTGAGATGGAATTTTGGGGGTGGATATGATATTAATTAGGAAGGAAGTTGGCTGCAATATGCTTGGAGATAAAAACCTTTTCTGGTGGGAATCTGGTTTTATATCATATCCAAATTGTTAAAGAAGCATTTTACTGAAAAAGATATTTTTATGCAATACTGTTACCTCTCAGTGGAGGAAAAGTGAATTAAACATGGAGATGATTGGATTAATGAGAAAAAAAATCTAGAAAAAAAAGACTTTCTGGGTGCAACAGATTCTTAAGAATTAAGTTTTGATTGGGAATGCTCACTAGTTAGTCCATGCATAGCTCTCATATCTGTGTAAGTAGTTTGGCAGTTCTCATCATCATGGCACTTTACATTATTCATTTGGCTGCTTTGTCAGGACCATAAGATCATAATAAAACATTCACAAAGCTATGCATAACTACCACATCTGTCCTATAGCTTATAAGTGCTATTGAAACACATCTTACACACAACCAGTGTATATAATGGTGTGCAGCTTTTAAAAGTTAGGTGAGAGCTTGACAGTGAATTCTGATTAAGGCTCTTTGGCATTGATCAACCTCAGACACCAAAGCAGAGCTTCTTCAAGCTTTTCAGGAGCTTGATCTTCTCCCCAGTTGCAGAGCACAGCTTCCTGCAATTGAACTGGCCTTGCATGGGCTTTCTTGCTCTGTTGAGCCCTAAGTGTATGTCAGGGCAACACAACTATAGCAGAAAATCCAGAAAAGTGAAGAAAAAAATCTGAAAGATGTCCACTGAGTACAGTCAGACAGAAAGCAATGGAAAACATCCCAGTAAAGGAGGCAGGGGTGTCAGGGTAGAATGCTTTTTGAGAGAGGACAAGGCAAGTTAAAGGACATGCTAGAAGAATGAAATTCATTAGAGGGCTTGAAAACACAGGAAAGAATAGATTATAAGCAAGGAAAGCAAGAAGTGACTGAAGGCTGAGTGGCAACTGAAGTGAACAACCCCAGCAATCAACGGGAAAGTTGAAAGCTGACAGCAATCCAGGAGTTCAAGGAGTGAAAGACTAGAACCAGACTGACTGTCAACAAGAAAATTGAAGTCTGGTCTCCCAAGGAAGGGAGGACTTGAAAAAAAAGGGGGGGGGGGGGAAATCAGGAAAAAGAAAGTTGAACTCACCAGAAGATTGAAAAGAGACAAGTTAGTTGGATTCCTGAAGACAAGTAAGATAAAAGGGCAATAGAGATGGACATGACAAGACAAAACAGTAAAAGTGGAAGTCTGACACCACTGTAGCAGCTTTGGGAGTCAGACAACAGGTACCTTAAGCCAGGGCTCATCAAGACCCAGAAACACAAGAAGCCAGCAAGAGGGGTAAAAAATGCCTTTGTGGGAAAGCTGACAAAAGTCAGGGAGATGGGTTAGTTGTCGTCCTACCATCTCTGTGGTACCAGACAACTGTGAGAGAGAGACTGTTGCCCAGCAGAGGAGGTGATCTGCAGCATGCCATCATGATTTGAGTCCAATTGCATTGTGGGGAGTATTGTGGAAAAGACAGTTTTGTATTTCTTAGGCCAAACTGTATACTCCTAAGACTACCCAGGACCTGAAAAACTGACTGGGGCTTGTGCCTGCTGTCTTAAGTAAGAGTTTTTACTTTTTATATTTAAGTATATTTTGTGCATGACACAAAATTTGGGAGAAAGAGAACAAGCAATCAGAAAGGGCAACAATATCTCTGTCCTGGTGGCAGATGATGGGATTTTCTGGAAGCTCAGAATCACAACTCTCCCTAAAGAGCTTCCCAAAGAGGAACTATCTCTTACCCTGATGTGCTTGGCTGGAGAGCTTGCTTTTAGCCACACATTAAAATTAGATGTCAGAAAACTCAAGGTCAAGCTTTTGTTTTTAGCAAAGCTTTAAATTATTAAAAAATTTAAGGACACACTTTAGAAAGAATCCATGGTTGGAAAGCTAGTGGAAAATATTTAACAGATCTGCAAAGCAGTTCTATTTATTTATACAGATGACCTCTTCTGCACCAGAGCAATTTCAGTCCATGAAATGTCCAAAGATGCAGTGCCACCTTTTGGACAAATGGATGTCATGTTAGGTCAGGCACAAAGTTGAAAGAGGGAGAGAGAAATAACAGGTGTTCAGTACTGGCTCTCTGAGAAATGATCAGTAGCAAGTTGAGAAGATAATTAGAAGCAACTCATAAATGGCTGTCTACTTTTTCTTTAGCAAATGTATGGTTTTATTTCCCAATTTATTTGAAAATCTTTTTAAGGTCAGTGAAGTCCACAACTGTTTAAAAAAAAAAAAAAAAAAAGAAAACAGGTAAAAAATAAAGAGGAGAAAAAAAGTACACCGTAGTTAGTTA